TCTGTTGTTATGATCTCTATTTTGATTTGTTACGTAATATTTTCGACTATGACTAATCCTCGTGATTGATTTTCGTTCGCTATTGCGCAGTTGTTGATGTTCTATCGTATCGAATACTCGACACTTAATATATTCTATATATGATACGACAACAAAAACCTATTATTGAAACATGTTTAGCTCTCTATTTTTGGCAGACTAAATATTAGTTCTACCATTGCTACATAATCCCCAAAACGAGAGCTAACAATCTCATAATATTTTTTTCCTTTTCCAATAGCCTAACTCAATAGAATGTGTTACAGATATTTTGAGACAAATGCCAATACCTGAGAGCCTCTTAGGCAATCACATATTGATTTCTACACCAATCGATACGACATATAAGAGGAGAGAAACAGAAAATAAAACACCATTGAAATATTCCAAGTGTCTAAATATACATTCTTTTAAAAATTGATTACGAATCTAGATGAAGAATGCACTTTGTTGTCCTCCACTCTGAAAAATATTTTTTCAATAGAATCGAACTTAAAGGTTGTTTCAGAAGAAAAATAATTAGCACAAAGTTATGGAAAAACTCTAGAAAGTACGTTATAGGAAGAATGCACGATAGAGGTGCCATTATGCCAAAAGTTAAAATTTTGAATTAATCAGAATGGTAATCAAATTACTGCATACTCATACCTTTATATGCATCTTTTTTTGTTTTTCAAAAAAACGAATCGTGTAAAAGGGATGGCTAAGAAACTGAAAGATAGGGTTTTTACAGGTTTCGATCGCTGTTAAAAATTATAACTTTTGTAGTTTATAGTGAATTAGGATTAGCAGTAAACTATAGTTGCAAATTTCATATGGATCATTTGCAGCTCAATAGCTGGATTGATTGCAGCGCAGTGATCTTACTAATCTCATTAATATGACGAAATTAACTTAAGCATAGACGATTACTATTCAATGCATCTGATGCGTACCAGATCAATTAACCAAAATCATTTTATTCCCAAAAACTACAAATATCTTCTTCTTTAACAAATCTGAAATATGATTTTTCGTTCTGATTGTTTGTGTTCATCGTCTATGGGTTCTATTAAACAATTATCTTTTATTTATTTTAAATTTACGCGCTTGAAAAATTTAATACAGATGCCCGATGAGCGTTTTCAAATCTTAAGTCGATCTGGTGACGAGATTATTAGTTTATTTAATGGCAATCGGTCGATAATGTTTACACTTTTTTTAACAGGGCAAGAAGAAAAAAATGGATTATTAGTCTGAGTCACTTTTGAATCGCTATTCTGAGTGTAAAGGAGGCCAATTAGTACGTGATCCTTCCGCCATCTTGATCACTTCGACATATAATTCAAATCCTTCTATTTGCATTGAGTTATAAGTACGGGCTCCAACTTTAATTGCGTGCATGTCAGCTGGAAGATAAACAACTTCCGACTTTGAGCATGAATACGTGTTCGCTGGACGGTTCCACGTGCTACTGTATTAGGATACAGATTGTTCGAAATCAGAATTTGATTACCGATCATGACACGCACGAAAGACCATGCTTGAATTGATGGTGTATGAGTCTGATCTTAAACTCGAATCTTGCATAAACGAGATTTAGCATGACACAAAGCGATCGATAGTTAGGGAACTTTGAAAAAAACGGATGTAATACTGTTAACGATCAATAGTGTGATACGCGAAAAAGAATTGTGGAGCTGGATTGCAGCCTGCACTTTTACCTTGTAGTGAATCAAAGTGAACTAAAAGGCTATCCTAGCGAAACGTGCAAATCGTCCTGTCAAACAAGTGTACTAAAAAATGCAAATAGCTTCAGACACAACACAAGACATGAATGCAAAAGGAATAGGAATCAAAATTATAGAAAGACAAACAAGGGAGTCAATGTAGATATGTTTCACGGCTGCATATTCACATACACCACTAATAGAAGGTTCCGTCTATCACCTTACTTTTCATTATGCTCAAAAAGATGAGTTTTCAATCAGAACAGCTGAAATTTCTTGACCCCCCGTCTAACATTTCAATGATATCTTTCCAATTTAAAGATGTGAATCAGAATGAACTTCTGTCCGCCTAGGTTTTCTCATATTTGAATTTAGTATTTATAAAAGCGAGTTTTAGCATCTTGAAAGAATATTCATTTTCCTACTTTTGACTTCACGTGCAATTGTTTCAGCATGGTAAATGATAGGTAATCGATTTTAAAATTCTATTTGGACGAAATTCTCCAAAGTGCCATCTTGTTTTTTATTCAAAAGCAATTCTGATCTCGGTCTCTGTCAGGGGTGTCACATTTTAATTTTCAAAAATTTTCATTTAAAATAAATTAAATCATTTTTAAATGAAAATTTAAATTTAACTAAGTTTAAATTAAATTGTTTGAGATTCAAGTTAGTTAATTTTGAAAACTGGCAAATAAATATAACTTTTGGCTTGATTGCTATTATTTCCAGTCAAATTTGAGTATGCTCCTTGTTTTCTAAAGTTAAAGCTAGTTATTCTTCTACGAATTGTGCTATTAAATATATTTTTATGAGTATCCCAGTATTTTGAACAAGAAAGATGGCGGATCCTGCATAATCTGTAAAGAAATTCTAACTGCTATGAACAAATATTAACCTAAAATACTAGGTTCACCTCTCATTTAGTATTTACTACTGTTAAAGTCGCGTATTTTTCTCATAGCAATGGTGAGTATCCATCCAAACAATTTATTAAATTTAAAATTTAAATTTAAATGATTTTTCAGCGTAAAAATTTGATGTAAAATTAGATTAACTTTTCGCGACGTTAAATAAAATAAAATAAACTGTAAGTTGACACTCCTAGTCTCTGTTTCAGTGACAAAGTTAGACGGATTCTTCTATAGGTTATAAATGAACTATATATAGAGTGTATAAGCTGGAAGTTCAGCATAGTGTCACATGTAAAACAAAAATTCTCATACGATACAATAAATACTAAAGATTTCAGCCTAGGTCGCCGAACGTAGTTGATGAATCGATTGTGGAAGAAGCGCTAAAGCATTGCTAGAAATAAATAAATTTTTCGTCTGAAGTTTTATTTCATTTAAATCCATGATATGATTCATTAAGACAGACAACATTGCAAAGTTGTATGGTTTATCAAAAAGCTATCAAGTTCTTGGCAAAATTTCTGAATAGAGCCAACATTCATTTACGATGCAAAGGTGGTTCTTATGTTGCTTGCTTTTCACAAGACTTGGGTAATTATGAAAACATGTAACTACTGCGCAGATTGAAAAATCATGCTTGCAGAGGAATGAAGCGTGTGTTGGACTTACGTTAGACGAGCATATAGGACACACGTGAACATAGAAATGAAAAATGGCGTTCCCTTTATCCCGTTAGTGAAAGTATGTGAAAATAGAGAACAGTAATGTGCACTTTGTATGAATTTTCAATTTTAACAACTTGAGATCATAAAGCAAAATACAATTCACGATTTCAACAACATTTCATCAACAAGCATCTCATTGCAAACATGCCGAATAGCACACAAGCAGTTTATCCATATACTTCTCGTCGTTGTCAATTTATCCAGCAAGATACGGTATGATCATTGAAGATGCTTAAAAAACGAACTAGATATGAGATTGATTTTGTCGTTAACAAGCTACCGTATCTTGTTACAGTCTGTCATCTTCGGCCCAGTGGCATAAGATCTAGAGATGCATAGTATGATGAATTCACCACTACTTTGTTTACCAAATATTATTAGACTTCTCCTTTTGTCTTGAGAATGGTGAGAATAGTTTAGGAAATGTGCTGTCCAATTATACCACAATAGTAAGAATACTAGAAGTTCATATCTGAACCATGAACAGATTTATGGGAATGCCATTTGAAGTAAGGGTGTGAGTGTGGGTGTACATGTAGATAATCAAAAGAGGATTGGTCCTGCATACCGGCATCAGCTTCCTGATCTCAGTTCAAAACAACCCTGCCCTAAATCTAAATGCATATTCATAAATGCATAGCATGGCTTGCAACTTTAGCCATACCTCAAATAAATACTCCGAATTCTTATTAGCATCGTACCCTGATTTTTTCAAAAAGGAATGGTGAAGATCACCATTTCAAGGAGATGATAATGCATTCTTTACATCGATCTTTTCATTAGCATTGTTCGGAATCAAAAAATATGCTTCTACATTTTGTCCTTGAAACGTTTGCTGATGAGACATCTTCGGAAACGAGTTATACTACCGCCAATGTCTTGCCGAATTGTAGATCTAGTTTAGTGCCAGTTACGCAGGGAAATAAACATGGGCTTTTTCTACAATAGCGGCCGTTTTCACGAATTACACACTTAGAATATATTTTTGAAATTGTAACGCTTTAATATCCATTCATGCACCACTTACATTGTAATTCTTCAAAAAGCTTCGCTAGTAACATCAAAAGTTCACTGGATCATCTTTTTGTGTTTAGCTGAAAGTCATCTGTTGATAGAAATTTTCCAAATAATTTCATAATATTCATTCCACCATTGATGAAAAATAAAAAACTTTATCACACATTCAGTTTTATTTTTATCATTGAATATTTTCTTTTCAATGTATTTTTAGAATAATGTTTTCAATCAAGCGTCGGTTCGAGAAGTTCAATTTGATGTAAATGAACTACCAGACATGTCATCTGGCTCCGGTGGTGTCTCGTGAGCTTGTTCTACTGCATATCGCTTCTTATTAAACATGAATATTTCTCTTTTGTTTTAGATCACCTGCCAGTCGAGTAATTAGTAAAGCAGCTCTCATCGCGTTGATTACGATAGTTTCTGTTGCGGCGATCGCTGCAGTTGCTATTCCATTGCTGATAGCATTTCTTAAGTCAGAAAGTGAGTTGAGTATAATAGAAAGATATTATTTTGAAGCGGCGATTCAAAACGACTCCCTAAATAGATGAAAAACACTGGGGGCCACTAAAGATTAATAAATTACTGTTCGAATTCGAGTTGATGAGGAGTACCTCGGCTGTGTTTTGAATCAACTAATTGAAGAAAGCAGGATTCTTATCCTTACCCAAAACCCTCTATGATTCATTCTTATGATTGATAAGACTTTTGTGTAGCGTTCACAACGTATTCATTTAGAATGTACTAAATAGAGAACCAACAAGATGAATGCAATCGGCTTGGAGGATCCAGAACACTGTTGAGGGCGTGGCGGTGGCAGTACTCAGATACATCCAGTGAAAAACATCAGTTGAACCATTAGAATGTTGCGCTAGAGATTGAAACTTTTAATCGATTTTGCAGATATTTATCTCTAAAGAACCTAAAACAAATTTAAGAAATTAATATAATTCTTGCATTGACTGCAGCATAGTCCCATTGTTAATCCTCTATTTTTCTCGAAACAGCTATCTTCATTATTGTGAATATGGAGTAACAAAGTGAATATTACGCACTCGTTGCATTTCAAATATATTATTCTTGCTATGAAATAGCCTAGCAATGTCAAACACGATAACTTAGTGCAAATATCGCATGAATCTATTCTTTCACACAATCAATAACTCTTTTTTTTATTTCATCACCAGTTACTACAACGACCACAACAACGACGTCAACAACTGCTACAACAACGACGACGACAACAACATCCACAACCACATCAACTACTTCAACGACGACAACGACAACGACAACATCAACTACTACGACAACAACAACAGCAACTACTACGACTACAACTACTTGTGAGTTATTAAGATATTCTCGGATGATTTCGTCCCAAACGGAAAAACGTGGTACCTAAGAACCTAATTTCTAACGAATTCGAGGCCTTGTAAAGATTTGCATACGAAGTTAAGACATCTCCGGAAAACTTTTCAATGTCCTAGAATATTTACCTCAAACCTTCATATTGTGTAGGTAGTCTTCTGTCGTTGTGGACGAAGCATATTAACTGCAATCCATTGTCTCAAATTTGTTTATTTATACGGCGCGTCCACACAAAAATCCTAGTGTGTTGTTAATTCATTCACTGTAGAATATCGATTCTAGGTTATCAATCAGCAATATCTAAGCTATTTGTTTATCCCATTTTGTATGAGAATTTTCATGAAAAAATAACTTCAATTTTTTCTATTAAATATGACATTTCAACTTTTTTCGACCGCTCGTTTTTCTTAGTGTTAGAGTTTATTTCAACTACAAGTTTAGCATGAATCAATATACGACATATCCCAGTGATAATATCATTGGGATTTTCCAAAACAATTAACGCGTCACCTATCCGCATATAGATAGATATGCATTTACATAAATCCAGAGTTATAAACATCCAATCATCCATCCACCAGCCTGTAGATCTATAGAGGGATGGGTGGGCATACAAATAGATTGATAGGTATTTGACTAGATAAATGAGTAGATAGTATAGACAAGTAAAGTGGCCAAGACCACACCTGCTCGCGACTAGTTTTGAAAACCCCTTCGTGACCGTGACTAAAAATCGTGGCGACACAGGTGTCTAATAGATATATAAATAGAATTTTTCATCTTCTTCGCTTTTTTGCCTACCCTAACGTACTGATGTCTCTCTCATTGAACATACTGATCTCATGCAGGTGTTACGTGATCAAAGGTTGTATCTATCTATCTATCTATCTATCTATCCATTTATTTGACTATCTGTGTATTCATTTACCCCGCGATTGATCTACAGGATGGAGCATTGATGATTGGATGTTTATAACTTCGGATGTATGTGAGTAAGTATCTATACGCGGATAGGCGATCCTTTTTTTCGAAAAGTCCAATGATATTATCACTGGGATTTTTCATGCACTCGATTTGTACAGATAAAGACGAAATGACGAGTAAACAACTATTAGCAGAATCTCAGGGTGATTAAAACGTGAAAAATGCCGAAACTACTGCCTGGAATCCGTCTGTCACGGCCTAGAGGAAGAACGTGTGCACATTTCTATCCTAGACACTTCAACACTCCACTTAAATCGTATTTCATAAAAGAGAGTGCGCTAATTAGTCTCCAGGTCAATGATTCCAGAGGACGGATACGTAGGAGCTGACCGGAAAGATGCGAAAAAAACACCGTATCTGACCGAAAAGCCCGAGAAAGCGCTCGAAAGTGGAAGCAGTATTCTGGCCGGAAATTACCGGATTTTTTCCTATGGATTCCGATCAACTTCCAGCCGGAAAACACAGGAAACTGACCGGAATCCATAGCGCAAAAGTTCGGTAGTTTCCGGCAGGAATAATGCTTCCACTTTTCATCGGTTCCCCTTGGTTTCCGGTCGTTTCTCGCCGTGCCTCTACGACGTGGGTCATAGTACTCACAAAGAAAATAGATCCATTAATTAAGCGCTAAAAAAGATTCCGAGGTGTTAAGCGAGACAAAAAAAACGGTTTTTGGGTTTCATCTAAAAACGTTCTCAATTTGCGTTCAGACCTTTTTTTTCTTCTCAAAGTTTCATCGAAATTGCAGTGGAGTTCAAATGCATTTACAACAACTACTACCACTACACCTGCATATATTTCGCTAATATTTCCTCGTATTTAATTCAACACCTTGTGTCTAGTTTCCACCAGATTCATACAACTTATATTTATCCTCTTTATATATTCCTTTCAAGATATGAATACAATTCTCAGATTAATGCTGTTTCATAGGATAAATGTACTGAAAAATCGTGCAGCAAGCTCGTCTTGTCAGTAGAGATTCTTATGTAGAGAAGCTAGTATGCTAACAAAGTTCTGTATTTCAAATTGAGGAATTTTCTATGTTTGACATTACAACAATAAACAACAACATTTACTCTTTTCTTTTCAGCGAACGCAATTGTCTATTCTCAATCGTTCTCTTCCGGCACTACTCCTTCTTCTCAATGCACAGCTTGGACCACATTTCGAGCGTTGCTCGTCGGTACTAGTTATACATCGCTCACTATGAGTGGTAGTAACGATCCAACTGGTATAACCTTAACAAATGCGGTCTATGTCAATGCCATAGCGCAAGCTCTGCGAACATATTCAACGTACGGCCCAGTATCATCAAATAGTTATTCATGGCAAGTCGGTGGGTGTGGTAGTGGCCCTGAACTGACTGCGACAGGCTGTATATGTTGTTGCAATACAGGCTATACGGTACGACCATGCATTGGGAACTCTAACTGGGGAGGAGTCAATTCTAATGCATGTTCTGCTGGATCACAAACACTGACAGTTACAATCATGTAACTGTTACTATACTATTAACAATAATATTTTCATTTTCATTTTGCTTTGATTTACATTAAAAAATGAATTATTAAACAAATAGAATTTAAGAGACAGTATTTATATTTAGATAACTCTAGATCACTTGAATATTCAAGATTTCATAGATTTATCTATGCAAATATCGATATTATCTCTTGAACCTACGATTATTTAGTACTAAGTCCCCTCTCCCCCACAATAAAAGATCCCGGATCTTCTATTATGTTCTAGCGTCAAAGTTTTCCAGGGGGGGGTGCGATGTTTAGTTAATTCGGCAATGTTAGTTTCATATAATTATTAAGATTAAAACGAATAATGATTCTTCTAATAGTTGATATTTTAGATAGAATCNAATGTATTATATATATCTTTAAGCTCTTGTAATAATTTTCACACTCTCATAGAGAGAACAAAATGTATCAACTGACTAGACGCGCCAAACATAACATAATTCAATTTCAAAACGCGACAAAAGACAAAGCGATGAAGACGAGAGAGAGAAAAAGAACATATAGCGAGAAACTCGCGCGAAATCAGAAACAAGACATGTGACGACACACGGTGCCGTTACAGGGGGGTTGTATTAAGAATCGCATTTTTTCCTAATATTTAATTTCAAAGGTTTTTCATAAAACTAAGGCGATTTCCAGGATTTTAAGGGTGCCATTATAATTGTGAACAAATTCTCTTAATATTCCCAGCTTAAAATGCGAAAAATCAGACATATTTTGATGGAAAATTTCGAGATATTATGTTTTGATCTCAGCAAATCTATGATGCTTCATTCAACATTGAGTGTTGTATGATAACAATTCGTTTTTCCTATTGATTCCAAAAAACTTATCTTCGGAGAAGTTTTGCTTCATCAAGTCAATTATCGACCTATCTTACGGTATATTAACGAGATTCCGATCTGTGTAAGTAAATCTGGTAGCAAAAGCTCAAATAGTTCACTGTATCTCGAAGTCTGAATATCAGTGAGTTTAAACCAAGTGTTTGAACTTTTTGTCAGATAGACTAATAGAAGCTACATTTCTGCTAATAAATCTTAATAGACGTGGATGTTAGGCTTAAAGCAACTAAGAGAGTACGTTGAAATACGGCTATATATGCGAAGAAAAAACAATCGAGCAAGCAGTCCGTAATGGTCGATCTGAGCTCTTATGTACAAATAATTGAAAAAGCAACAAAATCATATTAATTTAACGCTGATCGCCATTCTAAAGATTTATTAATGAATTTACAAGTCAGGAAAAAGATTTGAAGATTCTATGCATAAATAAATATATATATTTTTGAGTAAAAGTATATGATGCAAAAGTAGTGGAACCATTTTCGACCTCTATTTCTATTCGATTTAGAAGTACTGAAAGAAAACATTTTTTCACTAGACGATACAGAAGTTTCCCTGTTTTAAATTCTATATGAATTGATTTTATTATGTATTCTTAAAAGAGAATATAACACATGAAGAAAGAGAATTGCTTTCCTAACAAATTAGTAATTTTTATATTGATTCATCTAGCACATCTTGTAAAAGTTTGCCTCAAACACTCACTGATAGATAAATATTTGGTCTTCTTATACTTGAGAAATGTTGTTCAATATGTCATCAAATTTTGTCCTTGCAATGAAATGTTCGATAAATAATTAACTGTCGTTCTGAGAAAGCTTCTGTTTTTTTAAGTGTCATTTTTCTAGTAGAATAAATATCAAAATGAAGTCATATACAATGCGAAAGAGTTTTGAGGATGCTGCTCTTGCTAGCTGCATCATTTTATGTATGAACATATTACACAAATAGTTGGTATACGATTCAGAAGATGAGAAAACTCTATCTTCTAATTAAAAATGTTCTCTTTCAGTACCTTCCCTATAAAAAATTTCATCAAAATCTAATTTAGTACATGTGGTTAGCATTTTTTTGAATATCAATGATTTCGTTTTCTATGTCATCAAAGGAAAAATATGCTCTTCTCATTCAATTCCTAAGAGCAAAAGCTCGCCAGGTGCTTTCATTAATGACTTATTTTACTTTTAACCGAGCACTTTTAACTTTTGTGCTGATGTTAAATGCGAGTAGTTATTTGATTCTAATCTTTTGAACCAATCACGTGTTGTTTTTCGCTATCGTGTTAAAATAAACTGACTCATGTCTTTAATTTTTATAAATATCCAAACAATGTATATAAGCCAAGTACATGTCTCGCAAAAAATGTAGCATAGTAACGAACCTATTGAAATAAATTATTTCAATAAATAACTCTAAATCGTATCACTGAAAACAAGTAGTGGTCTATTTACGTTTAGTGGTACTATTTTGCACTTGTGTAACGATACAGTTATATGGTGTACGAATAAAGATTCTCAGCCAAAGTGAAATTAAAATATATTCTTGAATTGAAAAATATAGAGACATGTATTAGACGCAAAGTTCGTTCGATGGGTATTAATAGACATTATTCACATTGTCGGTGGATAAATAAATTTCGCATACTGGCAGATGACTTAACAGTGCTAGTGGAAAATAAATAATACATTATTTTGCACTTGTAGTTGTACTCTTAAGATAAAACAAAAACATGGATATCATATTTACTTGAATCTGTTGGGAAAAG